CGACAGTTGTGTGTAAGGTTAACCCGCCTCGATATGGGACATTGAGATCCACTTATAACACAGGCACAAGTTATGCAGCTGCCAATACACGATTAAAACCTTTATCGTAAAGTAAGGGCGTATTGTTGTCAGCCACGGCGTGGGAATATATCAGTACTTTACTCGGATTGGCGAGGATGTCTTGATATTGATTTCATTCGTCAACAGTGTTGATTTAATTATCTATTTTTTAGTCGTTTGTAATTCGATTAGCGTTTTTTCTTTTAGTCGTCTAAATACCTTCTCTGTCAATTCTACCGTGTAGATTTAGACTGTAATCCAGAATCCACTGCCTTCGAAATCATCTGTCAAGTACGGAATCAACAATATCATAAAAGCCGTCACAAAATATTACAGCACTCAAAAGCTTGAAGTACTTAAAAGCTTTAAAACTTACAGCAGTAAAATGGGTGACTGACATGTATTGTAGAAATAAAAAGAAATGAGGTCCATGAACGTGTTTAGAATAACAAGCAGTAAATACTACTTTGATAATAAGTTACTTACAGAAATTATGGCATACTTACATGATTATTTTGATAAACTACGTGCAAAGCGTCTGCATCTGCATTAGCCTTCGCCTGCAAAGAATATATAAAAAATTATAAGATCCCCCGGCCGGAGAAAGTTTAGTATGGAAGGCTCCGTGCCTCTTGGGCCGTTTTGGCGTCATGGTACAGTGGCGATAGAAACTCCATGAATGACAAGTCTCTATAGGTACATTTTAATGGCCTCTAATGCAATTAAGCACTGGCATTTATAAAGCTGGACATTGTTGCTGCATTAGAACAGAAGACTGTAGAATACAAACCAGGAGACATAAGGTAAAATTACGTCGCTTTTATTACAGCAAGAGTCAAATCCGGCTCCTGAACAACCGGCTGAGTATCTCCTGTATCTATTGAATTGGCTTGGATTCAAATTGTACGCATATGTTTCCGGGGAGTGCCATATCGTCTCATCAATCGCACAAGTGGCGGTCCTAAATATTTGATGAGAATTTAGAGGAGCATTGATAACTTCTTATTTCAGATGAATATCATCTCCCCGAATGCACATAGATTATAGCAACGTGGATGGATGCTCTATGTGAAAGTAGGGATTTGATGAACTATGTTGTGGTTACTTGACGTGCACTTTAAAACAAAGAACCGTCTCGTTCAACTTAATAGTCGGGAAGTTACTTACACTCGGAGCTCGCATACAGCTTAACGACAGCAAATGGAAATATCAATAATGAAGATCTTGACATGATATATCTCTTGTTTTGATTCTTCATCGCTAAACCCACATGCCTCTGTATGTATACATATTCAGATATAGTAACAGTTCCACATGTACTCGTAATACTAATATTCCACATCGCTTCAAAATACTATCTATTACAAGGACTGTTCCAAGAAGAAAAAAATCCAGACAAGACTGTATTTTCACATTAATTCATTAATGAAAACGGATAGCGGTTAAAACCTACAGTCATTTCATATATGCCAAGTTGAAAGTTCTACATGTATACATGTACTGATCATGATGGCGACAAACCCCACTGCTGTATGTTCTGACACACACACACTGCGTATGTTGCACACTGAGTAGCCTGTGTTTGTTGTACACGCTGTCGGCGGCTGGTTGGGCCACTCATCTCTTACACGAGAGTCCATTCCCAAAACTACCGAAAGGAGCTGGGGCTCAGGCTTTTTTATCAGTATAAAAATTAGTTAATAGCATCTCGGGATTCTCAGTCACTATGGAAACCAAGCATCACAGCCTCAAACACTATGGTAACAGGTATTCTTTCCAATCCATGTTTGTTGTTCATACCACCCCGGACTCCTTATGCCAGTGGCTGTACCTGTATTGATTATCCCGTGAATAACCGCCCTTCGGCGTAACTTCCCAGTCTTAAAGGACGGGGCGTCGGCTGGGGCAATGCGTCACAAGACTTCTCACGTGCACGTGAATGCCAAGTTTAATTAAGATCAGGTCAAATAAATCTAGCCTGGATGCCAGACTGGATGCCTATACAGACCAGCCTCATTGGCTCCATGTACGGGAATTTCACCATAGACACCCGTCAGCAAGGGTGTCCACTTGGAGGGTCATACATTTGTATGTTTCTCCAATAACCGATGTGTATAGCTGCAGGGATCGGTATCCCCTCGCCCGGTATGGGTCTGACAACCAGGTTAAAACTTACGTTAATACAGCATACGACAATACTGCGTCTTTGATATTCTAATGTTTTAAGATGGGGAATCCTAAAAAAAAAACTAGTAACACTAGAGGCAGGTGTGTGGATACTGACAAATAAGGTACCATTGTTCGACTTGTACGTGAGTGCAACCACCGGCCAGGAGTATGACCGTTCATCATATGATTCCTGCTGTCTGTCGGTTTGTCGGCCAACATGAATCGACGTCGTCAACATATATAAGAACATGTAAAGATCAGACTCTATGAGTAACAATTTGAACAGGTAGGTAAAATTGACTTACGTACGGAGCCTGATTGTTGTAAGGTTGGCCGTCTGTGGGTGGGACTTGTGCTCCAAGCGTAGGGTGATTTCGAAGATAGCGACCAATTTCTTTGTACCATCTTCTGACAGCCGGTCCAATTGGATGTTGTCTTGCCTACTGGTTAGTATCTTGCCGGTCGGTTCCGACTTTGCTACCGGACGATTTGCTGGTGATATTAGATGGGACCGTGCAGCTGAAGCCTGACCAACCCTGGCTGTGATCTATCCATGTACGGACAGACCCGCGGATGGGATCCAAGGACAGGGGCGACGACAATGCAATCATGTGTTTCATGTCATAGTCTGAAGCCAAACACTAGAAATTTCACCAATAATTTTGATTGTAAAAGCACAATCTCATCGCATGCCATGTCTTTTTAAGGTAGCTGAACAATTGTTGTGCAATAAAGTTTACTATCAACCTACACTCGTTTGATAGCACCATTCAAGAATACGACACTGTTGATGAGAAAATCCACAGCGTAATTAATTTGCGCAGCATTCGTCTCTGCATTCCCGCAACATCCGAGAAAAACCAGACCTAATCTGAGGCTGTGTGTAAATTCTTGTCGGTGGCAAATGAAGAAGTCATCCTGAGACCATAATATTCACACATGAAGTATTTTATAGTCGTACTTCTATCTCATTCCTATATGAGTAGGTGTGACTATAAAGCACCCACTAACTAAGATTACACCTTAATGTTGAATGTATGGATGACATTTGCAAAGAACCAGCTGAAGGAATCGTGGAAAGGGCGAAAGTGTAGTTTCCTAAACATTGCAAATTCTAGAAATAATTCTAAGCCACTTTATCTCGCAAAGCTACCTTGTATTACTCTTCTATGCTATATATCAAGTAACCCAATCCCACCATTAATGTAAATATCAATAATGTATACATTACCACGGTATCTAGTATATAAATAGACCAAGGCCACATTACAACAATGATATTTTTCCACGTAACAAAGGTCAAGTCAAAGTCCTCACAGGTCTATACTTCCTTCGGGTTCAGTTCTCAAATTTGGCTTTAAAAGTTCCATGCAATCCAACATCGACTCGCCTGTTAATCTCAAAGCAGATCTTTCAGGGGCAAAGTCGTAACCAACAGACAATATCCAACAGCCCACCGTCGATTGGCCCGGCTGTCAGATGAGGTTACAGTCTTCCCAATCAACCTCTGCTAGGAGAGTACCGCCTGTGACAAATTAAACAGTACTGGGAGCTCTCCCGGCAAATCACGCTCCCCGGCCCGGCCTGCTGCTGGTGTCTCAGCTGTGATGTATTGTAACAATACATGTGTAACCCACTGGGAACGCCCCTTTATTTAACCATGTTGTAAAATGTATGAGTGCAGCATTAGAGCAGACCGGGTTGCTCCCAGTCATCCCATTTACGGTGTCCATTTTGTCCCCGCGGCTGTAAACTTTGCTTGTTAAATCATGTTATCGCATGTGTTATAGTGCCCTTACTCAGTACTTTACTCGTTCGATTCGTCCGTTTTATGTGGACATAGATGAAATTCTACAGAAAGGAGCTATCTGTTCTTATGTGCTTTCAGCAGAGTTAATGCCCGAGGTAGCGGAGGACCTCACCCATTTTTTTCAAAGCAGGTGCTACCTCCCACCTACCATGCAACCGAAAGCGATTAGGACAGACAAACAAGCCCATAAACTCAGCCACCCAAAACCAAAACTTCAAACATACAAAATTAGGCCTAGTGATAATCAAGATGTAGAGGAGAGTACGATTCAGGGAGTTGTGATCAATACGTTCCGTGCACCCGCCAACCTGTCCACTAACCGCAATCAGTGGAGAGGCGCACGGGATGACACTCACCTTGGCCCCACCTTGTCACGGACAGGAAACAATACATCATCGCTCGTTAATCTTTACTTACCGTTTCGTTCGGACAACCGTCCACTTTTGATTTCCCCCGTTTATCCTCGGTCGGTTTTTATCTTATCTGCTGTACGTGTGTGTAGTTCTTAAACAGTCGGCAGTAACTTTATATAACTTGTCATTTTTTTTCGGTAATACTCTTTATTCAAGTCACGTTTTGGTGCGAGATTGCGCAATTCGTGAATAGAGTGTATAGTGACAATGGTCCAGATACTAGGATGTAATAGAGCTGAACTGAACAAGGGGGTGTTACAAATCACGGCCTTAAAAATTGTGCTACTATCATAAATATCTGCTGAAAATGATCCTCATGTACCGGCCAACTTCCTTCCTAACACTCCGCAAGTAGACTCATACGTATTTTCTAACTACACAGGCTGCAAATACGGAGTGCCATGATATTCTAAATAACAGCTTGAAGCTTGAAGGTTTGTCAGATGAATAAAACAACACAACTGAAAGGCTGATAAACGCGCTGATCGTGACACTGTGTTAAAGTATATTGAATGATTTAATGTCAAAGTAGTAAGCTCGTGCGTCGCACTCCATAAAATGTGAAAAGTTATAATTAGCCTTGATGATTTCTATTTTTCTCTTTTTGCGATATGATATTGTGTCATCTCACTACTACAGCTCTTGATGAAATTTACATGTTACTGTTCTCATCATGATAGCTTATCACCATACATGTGTCTCTCGAGCCAGTTCCGTGCTGTTCTAATACTCGTACTAGTATAACTTTTCTGCTCGGTATATCGAGACGTATAACCTTTAGTATATGCTTAATAAATCCTCTGTATTGATCCCATCCAACCTTCCGCCAGTCTTCTCTAATGCGGTTCTTCACCAATGCTGACGATTTGGAAGTTCTATAACGAACGTACGAGTACATGTACATTGTACATGTATTATAAAGGAGGCATTATCATGTACACATGTGTACAGACACCTTCATGCATGGTACTTCAACCACCGTTACAAATACGCTCAGCAGCCTGCTTGATGATAGTTAAACACAGGTCAACATGCTCAAGATGTGACCTGAAGTGCAGAACACAGACGCGGAGAAAGAACGCCCCGCCTACAGTTGTCGGAGTGAGATACACACGACCGTCCGACAGGATTGCAGCAAGCAGCCGCTGGTTGTGATACTCAGTATCCTCGCCAGGTGGCGTCGCGTAGCGGAACACTACTACGGATAGCTGCGGTTTCAGCGGGAGCTCAAACAGACCCGTCTCTGTGGAAAATGATTGGACCTTGTGGTTACCATTTGATAACAGAGTTTACATTTCCCTTTGTAGCAGTTGACTTAGAAAAAAAGGGAAATAAGAGAGTTGAATGGCAGGTTCGTGCAAATAAGTATCTCGTTACAGAACGTTTATGATTCTTTAGATTTACTATTACTTATTGATGAAAGTGTTTATGAACACTTTCTCTCGTCACGTACCCTTTAGCCGCTGGTAGAAATATCGAGCCAGCAGAAGTTTCTCCCTCAGGGCAGCCCGGAAAGCAGCGATGCCGTACAGCTTGAGCGGCAACCAGAGACGCGGTCCTCTGAAAATGTAAATTCATTTTCATATCATCAGGTGTTGCAAACTTTTTTTTAGTTAAAAAAACTAGAATAATACATATACATTGATGTTTTGGTGGAAAATGTTACATTACAAGAGTACAGGAAAGTGTAGGAAAGAGGTCTTATACATCAGGTCACTGCAACCATCCCTCAACCGAGACGGGGGTCGACACCAATTGCCGGGGACGTTTGACCCGTTACGGACGTCACATTTCCACCCAAATCACGTGACTGAAGCTTGGGGTTATTTCAACTTAAGAAAGGTCAGAGAACTGGCCAAAATTTTATTTGTAAGCACTTTACTTTTAGGGTTGGTACGGATATAACAATATAGCGCTCATACATGTTGTAAGTGCAAGAGAATAGTTACCTGAAATGACGAGTCTGTTCGAAGGACAGCTGACAGGGGGACAGCTCGGTGTGGGACAGCTGCAGACAGCTGTAGTAGTTCCCCAGGCGGTGGGACGAACAGCACCGCAACAGCTTCCCGCCTTCCCGAACTATCAGCACGCCTGTGCCGCACGGCACGAACAGACCTGGATAGCCGGGTGATATCATTCGAGAGGGGAGTCAACACAGCTTTGTCATCTTCCGATTTAGGTTCAGATGTATCTACATTTTATTGATCGGGCGTCTACTTACACCCCGTCCTACCTGACGCTGCGACCGTCTGTTGAGCAGAGCTACCAAAGATTTAACAGAATTTCATCCATAAAGAACGGGTTTCTAAAAATGGTGTGTTTTGTTCGCTTTCAAACATTAGCTTTTACATCTTGCATGAGATTCCAATTAAGATATCTAGGTTTAATGCGAATCCAATATTAGTCCATATACAGTCGCTCAGCTATCGCTGTCTGGTGGAAGTAGGGCCCTAATGCGCATTCTGCAACTGTGATTTGATCACGAGTTAGCTCTTCTCACCTTTGTGTGGATTGAGCACGACAGAGTCGCTCCTCCCCACGCCCCTGAACAGGTGTTTGACGTCGTCCACCAGGGCGAAGAACCCTCCGTACGCGCCGTCCACGTGCAGCCAGACGGCATGACGTCTGCAGACGTCCGCGATGGCGTCGACTGGATCCACGGAGCCAACGTCAGTAGTTCCCACGGTCGCGACCACGACAAATGGCAACAAACCCGCCTACACATCAAACATTGATCAGCATGAAACGTGAATGTACAAAGGATGCGTCCATATGGCATCGTCCTCAGTGCTTGCATATACCGTACATTACCTCGACAGTAAAGCTGACAGTAACAAGAGCCCGCAACATCTCAACCCATATCCTGCAAGGAAAGATCTGTGGCACCAGAAGCAGAGAAGCCATGCAGGAGATGGGGAGACGACATCGAGGACTTGGCAGGCAGGGCACTAGCAGACTCAGAGAGTTATGGTCAAGGAAGGATGGAGGGAGCTTAAGCTGGAAGAAGCCTCGGACCTCAAGATGAGGGACAAGGTGAGGACTGACATGCTATCTCCTCACATACCTCCTTGTCCTGCATTATTTGCTGCTCCAGAGAAAACACGTTCATTCTAAACTCTGCGTCCACCGGGACCTTCCGGACCGTGGCTTCCGCCATCCCCACGGCCTGGAGCGCCTTCTCCGCGGAGTGGTGCAGCAGGGTGCTCCCGTACAGCACACATCTGTGGGACGGCAAGGAAACTCAATGTGGGGGTTTTGAAAGAAAGCAAAAATTCTTTTATACTTTTCCGCTTGGTTCGAGGATAAGTCGTTTCAACTCACCTGTGGAAGTCCGCGGCCTTGATCCCCGCGCTGTCTCGTGCCGTTGCTAGGGCCGTTATTGTTGCCATGGTACCGCCAGACGAGATGTTTCCTGCGTGGCCTTGTGGGTATCCCAGCAACGCTGCCAGCCACGTGATCAACATGTTCTCCATCTCAACCCCTCCTGGACAGAGCGGATAGGCCCCTGGACGGGGGGAGGGGGGAGCCTTAAAATGGCATCACTGAGTGCTACATTCCTGTCTTACATAAAGTTCACCATTTGTTATTGGAAGAAAGTGGCGTAAACTTGACGTAACGCAACAACAGGAATGAAGAACCTCCCTACCGTTATGTAAAAGAATTTCCTTAGTCGTTTTCCTTCTTCGGCCTTTCATTGCTGAATGCTTTATTGTTTTATTTGGTAACTTGTATCAACACGTTTTGTAAGAAACCGTTAACGCGCCCATGAAAATATGTAACAGGCATTACGGTGTGACCCTGGGCCTTTCACGTTCACATTGAGTTTTCGAGAGGCATGAAAAGATAACAACGTTAGACTACAAGTGCATGGGTGAGGGAAATAATATTAATGCTGCATTGGCGAATGTTTATAGTGTAATCTTCAATATGTTGAGGAGTTAAATGACCACTGAGTGGTTAGGCTAGTGTGCACGAGATCGAGAGTCACGGCGTTGTGTCCTTGGAAAAGGCACTTTCAAAACAAAACTTTCCACCCAGGTATAAAATGGGTATCTGAATTTGGTTGGAGAAGTCAAAGGTGGTACACATAGAAGAAGAGGGATGGGCCCCGCTTTCCAATACCGTGCTCTAGAAACTGCAGTGGATTAACAGCCTATAGCCCACACAGCCTTAAAACAGTGATCTTTACCTTTAATAGAATGAACGCGTTATCCCCGCGCCTTACCGGTGTATGTTCCACACGCGGCGGCCAGAAAGTCTCCCAGAGCCGCCGGGTACAGTCCTCCGGTCGGGATGTAGGCAAAGTACCCCGGATGTAGCGCGTTCTCTCCCGTTCCCAGGACACTCTGGCGATACACCTGCAACACCGTATCTACAAGGAGAAATTCATTCATTCTTAACTTGCCCTGTTTAAAAACTTCAACTTAAACGCACCTACAGTTCTAAAGGAAGGTGCTAGAGGGGCCAAACGTCTGTCACATTCTCTCTGACCAAAGCCTAACGTTATCTACCAAAATTATCGATAGATCGTCTGTGGTGCTCGAACTGTCAAAGAATTAGACTGAAGGATGAGAGAATGCCTTTCTAAATTGAAAGTGGACAGTTAACTGACCGATGTCCGCGGGGCCCTCGTCCAGACCATGCTGTCTCAGACAGCCGGGAGCGGCGGCGTCCTCAGACTCAGCAGCGGGCCGCACCTTCGCACCTGCGTCCTGTGGCGTCTCCGTCTGACGCGTCACAACCTCCAGGACGCTCCCCGTCCAGGCACTTCTGACGTCTTGTCCCGGGTCCAGAACTGACGACGTGGTTCTTAAGACTTCCAGCTCCTCTCGAAGTTCTTGAATCCCTTCCTGATTACAGGTGGGTTCGCTGGTCGCCATTTCTTCCCGACGGCCGTCCATGTGTGGTACCGTACCCTTACGTGCAGTCCGGCCTACCGGGAGCGTTTCCCACCACATGGAACACTGAAGCTCAATGTCCCATGTGTACATTTCTGTGGGTAGGATGCTGGTCTGTGTATTTTGCACCCGAACTAGAACTCTCGGAAAATTTATATTGGGTCGGTGGGCGCTGATCCAATGAAACGGACTCTGAAAGGCATGATATCGTAACAGTTACAAATAGAAGGAGACATTGTCTTCTCGGAAAAAAGGAAATGATACTGTCGTCATTAAATCTATCTATTAGTAACTTGACAAGTGAAATCCTTCACTTGGAACACTGAGGCTCAATGTCCCATATGTAACGTTACGTGTTTATGGCGGGATGCTGGTCTGTGTACTTTGCACACGAACTAGAACTCTCGGAAAACCTTCATTGCGTCAGTGGACACTGATCCATTTCAAGACTCTGAAAGCACAGATGAATGGATCGTGTTCATTAACTTTCATTAACATGAATATCCAATTTGTAGAATTTGGTTACAAGAGAATGTAACAATGACACACTCTATTCCTTACAAACGTAATTGGTATTATCTAGGTACATGTCACTCAGCAACAGAGCATGTGTTTTTCACTTGAATATACGTAGTACATTTTCTCTACTTGTATATAAACACAAACACAAACACAATGACAAACTTAAGTCACAACCCTCACTTTAATTACAAACAACGCAATACAATGTAGGTAAGAAAAAATATATGATTTGCCAAACAAGTTCTCAACACCTCCTCCGTACTGTAGCAACTAACAATGTACATGTCACGAACCACTTCAAGAGAAATGCACCCCTTACAATTGCACAAGGCTCACCCCCAAAGAAATTCACACAGTGTGAATCTGACAGGTAAGAGTAAATGTGCAAGCACACTAGAATCCTCTTCCTGCGTCTGTCTTGGTGTATAGATGTAGGTACGTACGTGATCATCACAAAGCACTACCAAACAAACGCACTGCACACCCTTTCATAACCAACGTACCTTAGCGCATACAAAAGCCTTTTAAGGTTTTAAAGTTAACATTGTAACTTAAAAGTTAATATTATACGCACAAACATAAGTCACCCTCCACGGCGTAGGGTGTCCAACTGCTTACAAAGAGTGGATCCGCTTGGTTGACGACCAGACTCAAACACAATGCATGACCTAATTGGTGTACAGCAAGCAACATGGAACGCGATAAACTATTCCTAACTTTACATTCCCCCTCATTAACCCATCGGCGATAGGCCACCGATTTTTTGTTGAGATCGCTGTTGCTTTATTTATATAACTAATTGAATACACGTACACTCACTAAGTGTACTCTGAACACGATTCCCGAGAATCATACACTGAACACAAACACCGTGAACACGGTCCGTTGAAATATTCCCGAGAATCATACACTGAACACAAACACCGTGAACACGGTCCGTTGAAAGATTTCCGAGAATCATACACTCAACGCAAACACCGTCGGAACACGATCTGTTGAAGAATTCCCGAGAATTCTCCGCACAATGAACCATATATAACACATACTGGGTACTAAAGTACTTGATCCGCTGATCTACCAGGTACCATACATTTGTATCTCTGTACTAGAAAATAAGGATATGTTATTGTTGTGGTGAAAACTATCTCAAGTGATTCTGAGAAGACTAGAAGCCGCAGAGATGTCCTGCCGGTGGTTGTTACTCCTCACCACCAACTTGCGACAGAAAACGGGGTATATATGACAGAGCGCTCACGATCTTCTAAAACAACTTCTGATTGGAGAGTAAAGCAATTAAGGACATTGTTAAAGGAATTCAATGCAATTTCAGGGCGGCGCAATGAAAATATTCTGAATGAGGGGATATGTCTGATATTGACATTTGCTGCCACTTCTTAGCACATTTATCATCATTTCATCGATATCTACTTGATGAAGTATCATGATTTTGAAATAGTCCCGGCTTTATTTTATTTGGGTACCGCCCTTAAATAGCTCGAATCAACCTGTGGTACAAAACAAGCAACCGTTTTCTGTCAGCGACATCGCATTTTTGCCTCACAGATATGTGTATGCTATATGGGATAGGGTTGAATCAACTTACCCGGTACTATATTGAAAGAATATTGACCAGAAAATCCTGTTTTGCCGCCATGAAATTTGCATTGGATGCCTTTTTAACTAAGCTACCTCGCTCAAAGAGAACCACAAATACAGTACCATGTGTGAAGAGAAAGGATCTGCAATTCCTTTAATTTGTGGAGATGATAAAGTAAAACCGTAACATTTAAAGGCAATTCAGAATGCGGGCTCAGTCAGGTACCGATTTGACCGCGGGGTCACTACGGGTCAATGAACCCTAGTGGGCGGGGTCGACAAGATGGCTGCCGTAGCGAAGGTAGACGCGGACGGGTATCCAACCTTCCAGCTGGGAAAACCCAGGTTTGATCAGGTCTGCATCGGATATTGATTGTAAACAGTATATATGTATAACATGTTCATAGTATAACGGTTATGTTCATAGGAACGCAATTTTGTCTGCAACGCATTGCAGCCTTGTGTATCACTCAACAGGCGTCTGATGACTGGCGTATTTATCCATTATTCATTGTGACATTACTCCTCATACATACATGTTAGCCGGCAGTACGTTACATCTGTGGGGTTAACTTCGGTGATCCGTGTAATCAAATGCTGTAATAGTGCCAATCAGAGCTTTAGATAAAATTACAAATGAATCGCTGCCTTTTTACAATGTAATATATTACGTTAAATATACCATATGCTACGAACGTTGTACCATTGTGTTTAGACAACTCTGATGTTAATCTGTGGTCAGCTGTCTGTGGTGATTAGTTGTAATTCTGTGTTTCAGTCGACATTTTGGGGGAGGTACAGACATTTTCTGGATGTCATCGACCCACGAACGTTGTTCACAACAAAGGTACTGCCGCGTTGCAAATAAGAAAATGTGCTTAGTCACTCTCAAGTTTCATATTAAGCTTGCACTATAACGTTATGCATAACGTTGTCTAACTTATTCATTTGGTGATATGACATTGTTTTGGATAAGTCTTAGTATTTAAATCACTTATGGGACCAGTGGTCCATCCCAGCCATCTATGTCCGCATCATGACTGCATCGTGTGTGTAATATAATAAAAATGAGCAGTTAGGAAAATGTAATGATTCAGCCTAGCACCATCTGCTTGGAGATTATGAATGAATGAAGATTTATATTTATGTCTTGCGACAAAGCCACCCAGGCCATACAGGCTTATTAAACGACACATTTAACATTACAGAAGTATAGATATCTCATGAGTAATACCGCATTAACAAATTAGCCATAATAATATTAAAAATTTAAATGATTGAGTAAAACTTATGTTCCCAGGCAGGCCTGTCGGAGGCCAGCCAGCTGTTGGAGGATTACAGGAATGGAAATCTACCTGAGGGGGTCAGTAACAAACAGGTGGGACATCACAACATTAGAATTTAGTTTTCATTCTTTTATTGCTGCTGTTACTGTAGAGTTTACATATAAACATGATAGATAAATGTTTCGTATTCATTGGTTTTTTTATCTACTTTTCAAACAGTTGTGGGAGGCTCAAAAGATCAAAACAGTAAGTTACCATTTTTACCACTCATTGGTATTGATGTTTAATAGGTCTGTCTGCGTGTTTGTGTTTCTTATGTCAACTTGATCATATCTATTATTTCTCAATTTTGAATTAAACTTTGATATCTTTTAGGCTATTCTTCATCCAGACACAGGGGAGAAAATTTTCATGCCATTCAGAATGTCAGGTTGGTTATGTTCTTTTATAGTATATAGTATAGTCTGCAAACATGAGGTCTAAGTCTTTTAATAATTGTGTTTAAGGTCTGCAGTGAAACAATGCCTATAGATATACATTCATGTATATGTATAACATACTACACAAGGAACTAATGGATTTGTCCAGCAGGCAATATGTTGCTCATTCTTCAGTTAGATAACAGAGTTGAATGTCTGACTTGCTGATCTGATTGGAAATCTTTGTACATACATCTGCAGGATTTGTGCCTTTTGGAACTCCAATTGTGAGTATATTACGCGTTACATTTTCATCTTAGATTTGCTGTTTATATTGTAACATGGTCAGCACTAACTCAGAGCAACCCAAGGCCTTGCCAGCCTTCGAATATACTATTATGGCATTACAGTTAATTTGAGCTACCATACAATTTACATGTACTCCCTCTGGTGACATGTTCAGCATGCTAAATATCTCAAGTAGCTGTCCCACATTAAGATTTAGAACATGATTGTGTAAATGTTTAGAAAAATGACATGTAAATCAACAGATTCTTAAGCTTGTTGTCTCCAAGAAAGTAGTGTATTTCACATTTGTGATGCAGTATTGTACATTTTCATCCATAGGTTGTAGGCATGCTGCTCCCCAACCAGACTATGGCTACCACCATATTTTGGCAGGTAGGTGTGTTCCTGTGGTCTGTTAGCTAACTTAACTGCAAAATGCTGAGGGATTTTGTATACTATCTGAAACTCTTGATATAGATATTACTATAATAATCAGTGTCATAGATAACTTTTAACTTTTTGTTTCATTAAAATTTGTAGTGGATAAACCAGACCCACAATGCCTGTGTCAACTATGCCAACAGAAATGCAACAAAGGTAAGTAATGTTACATCTACAATATACGGGTATCATCACGCATATGCACTAAGTACTGTAACAGATAGACAACTGTTTTCCACGGTTTATCTCCCAGTTTTACTTGATTGTTAGCAGTTGTTAACACTTGACAGAAGTTCTTTTCAGATAAACATGACTATCATTAAGGTCCCTTTTTATTCCCCAGCCTACTCCTGTGTCCAGGTTTGTCCAGGGTTACCTAGGAGCTGTCACTTCAGCTGTAGGAATCGCTGTAAGTCTTGAAGTACCTGTACATAAAAAACTACATTACACTATCTGATTTTCATAGCCACCTTAGTGATGACAACTGCTGTACGATTGCAAACTCTGGGGGTATTTTTGGTTTAGCTTTGGATGTGTCATACTATATACAAAATTCAGCTATCTTCCTGGCAAAAGGCTACTTGAAAATTGCATAACATCAAAATTGCATGTCAAGCTAAGTTGAATGTGACCACATCAAATGGTTCAGTGAAAAAAGCCCACAGTAGGGCCAGGGTTAACTGTGCTATTTCTGTAATCAGGTTGGTTTGAATGTCCTGGTGAAGAAGGCGCGTGGCTTCAGCCCCACCACAAGGATGGTGGTGCAGAGGTTTATACCATTCCCTGCTGTAGGTGGGTTGTCTACAGTTCATAACAATTTTACGTAGTACACACATACAGTGTTGGGTCTCTTACCAACTCTTATAATACTTAAAAACAAATGCCTATTCCAAAGAACTGCAACCATGTCAAGTGGCATGCAAACTTCGGGTTCATTTACACATATAACGTTACCATAACTGTGTGATCTCAAAGCAAAAGTTGAACACTAAAGTTACATTTTATATCATCAACCTCACAAAAACATGCCTGACCTTAATGCTGAACATTATCCACCTCAAAAACATGCCTGGCTTTGGTACTGAACATTATCCACCTCAAAAACATACCTGGCCTTGGTACTGAATACTATTCACCTAAAAGAATCATGCCTGTCCTTATTACTGAACAGTATCCCCATCACAAATACATGAGTGTCCTTAGTACTGAATATTATCCACCTAGAGATCATGTCTGTCCTTAGTACTGAACTCTATCCACATCACACCTCATAATATGCCTGTCCTTGCTACTGAACACTATCTACCCAACAAAATCCTGCCTTCCTTAGTACTGAACACTATCCACATCACAAAAACATGCATGTTCTTAGTACTGAACACTATCTACCTCATAAAAGCATGCCTGTCCTTGATATGTACAGTACCCATGGTGTATATTATGTGAGGACCATATGCATGCACTCCCTGTCTTCTCCAGCCACAGCAAATGTGTTCAACCTGGTACTAATGAGGAACAATGAGATGAGGGAGGGCATTGATGTCACTGACAAGGAAGGACACCTAGTGGGCACATCCAAAACTGCAGCCAAACACGTATGTCGGCTAGTATTACTAGTGACTTACATGTTGCATGTCAATTGTAGTTTATTCTGAATGACTGTGTCATTGTTGGACAAACCATAGCTCTATACGTCTGAAAAAGAATAAAAAGATGAATTATGCCATGTTCTAGATTCTAGCTAGACTTGAATAGTTTTTGCTGCATATTGTAGACTTTTCCTTTTGTTGTTGTTGTTTGACTCTATTCATTCATTCTATGATTGTTTTGTGTAATGTCTAAGTTTATAACAGCACACAATAGTGAGATGTGTAAGTGTGTAGTAGTAAATGCCATGTTGTATTATGATGATGTATACCTTCTGCTAGAGCTAAGCACCAGCCTTTGATCTAGATTGATGCCTTGCACTGAAGCACTATTACTAGTTGCTTTAGACCTTCAAACTCTGACTTCTGCCATCTGTGGCCATCTTGCATGTAGGCATTGTTTGAGACTGCTGTGAGTCGTGTGGTCATCACTGCTTTGGTTACTGGCATTCCTCCTGCCATTATGCTGCCTTTGCAGAGGTATGTTACTAATGAACTCACTAACATGGGGCACAGCATCGGTTGATCCAGGGGCTGCCTTTTGAATCAGTCAAATTTTGTTTTACATGTTTTTGTAGGATTTTCAGTGAGACTACAACAAAACCAACTATCAGCAAGGTTCTAAAAGTTTTCAACAAACTTGGTCACAAGACAAAGAAGATTTGTACATCACATCCATAGGTGTACCAAAATTGACCTCAATCCTATATCTACTCATACAATCAATGTGGCAGGAGCCTTGGTCAACTGAAAAGGAAGAACTGCAGTGGGACAATACCATCAAGTTTTTTTTCCAAATTCAATTTTGAGAATAATAAAATATTCATACCAAAAACTTTAGTGCCCCTGGATCAGCATCTGCTTGAATAGCCTCCAGTCTTGCATGCTCTTCTATAAATCCTGCTATGATTGCTACAGACTCTAGATTTACAACTAGCCTGACTACATCACACTCCTAGCAGCCCTCCCACTGGTCAGGAAGGAGTCCAATCAGCCCCTGACAGATTGCATAAGACAAAGTAACTCTACCACCTAGCTGGAACCCCTCCACTCCGCTCATACTGAAAGGGTTTAGACCACCTCCAGGTTCTAACCTATCCCGACTGTGACCCTGCCAGGCCCTGTTTGAGACAGCCGTGACCCGAGCATTCCTCCCAGTCCCCATACTCCTCCTGCCTCCACTGGTCATGTCAGCGGTGGAGAGGTGGGTTAGGACATGTCACAACTACCAACATGTTCCACGTTTGTTTGTACTGTTTGGGAATTACACTAAGCAAGGACGTCATATCACAAAGTCTTGTTGTTTTGTCCCGTTTGACATCACTTTTTTTACTGTATGTCTGAAATATTCTGAAATATTCACTATATGAAAGTCTATCAGTGTTAACACAATGATCTCTGTCGAAATGTTGAAATGCTAGAAACTCCACCAATAATTCTTAATTTAAAAGCACATTTTTATTCCATAGTCTTAGATTAGACTCATAGTATGTTTGTTGTTGTATAGCAGTGAACACAATACTGTACATACATTGTGCCTTGCACAATTGTTAAGCGATAAATTTCTCTGTAAACTGTAGGACAGCGTGGCTTCTGGCTCGACCCAGGATGGTGATGCCCATGCACGCTGTCGTCTGTACAGCAGCCTTTGGGTTTGCCCTGCCCATTGCTATTGCACTGTTCCCACAGTACTCAGAGGTAAGGCCTCCACTAAAGAACTTTCACTGGCCTTCAGCCATATTGGATTGTAAGGGTCAATGAATACATGTATTTGTCAGCAGTGTCATGGCAGAACTTGACCTTCCTAACGTGTGGGTTTTTTTTCAAAGCACACAGAGACGTTAACCAGGTTATTTGTCAAGTAACAATATACACTGTACGATAACAGTAAAGGAGTGGGCTAAAAGATCAGTCCAGACTTTTTTTTTGCAGTACTGTGTTCTTACTCTTAACAGTTATCCAAATAGCTCATATTGCAATTGTTTAATCTAGATGCTTTATAATGTATATTGTATATCTAGCTGGAGTTTTGATATGTCTTTTTCTGTGTTTACAGATTTCTACCTCCAAACTTGAACCTGAGATTCAGGCTGCCACCCAGGAGTTAACTGTCATCTACAACAAGGGGCTGTAGTGCCAGCTTCCCTGTGTTTGGACCCAGACTGCACATGTAAGGTAAGACAGAACTGTTGACTGAATCATTTGAGACTTTTGATACAGCCTCTGCCACTACTTTCCTTGCAAATGACAGGTTGACTCTTCCCAGAGAAGCATAAGTACTCAGGACTTGGATAGATGTGGCAAATTGTCCTCTGTGATACATTATTGTCCTCTGTGATGAATTCTTGACATTTTTTATTGATAAGTACTCCATAGACATTATATGTTTTCACTACTAGTATCTTCCAACATGCATAAAATGTAAGATTTTTTTCTGCTTCATCACCTAACCATTTTTTACATATGATTATAGATGACTTTGATTCATCATTCCAGTCAGTATAAGTCTACCACATCACTAAACTGCAAAGTAAGCAAGGCTGAGACATCATTCATTGGAATTTTCCTATGGAAAGGGACAATGACAGGACGTATAAGGTGCAATATCTACTAGTCTTGAAAGACAAACTCAAGTTTCTGCTGTTATGGCAAAATCATTTGAAAATCAGGTGTGCCATATAAGTTACAATGTACCATGTGTGCCTTTGGAAGTTGCATCTATTGTCCTGTACCAGATTTCAATCATAGGCTCTGTACACGTAGCTTGTTTGTTTTTACATGTATGTGGAAACCATATGCCATCCAACAATTTGCAAAATACCACAGCAGGATCATAATATGTATATATTTGTCATGTACATGTATTTGTTATTGATACATTATATGGATGTATACTCTGTTATTTTAGATGCATTTTAGTGGAAGTATTTATATATCTGTCCTACAAATATCTCAATCATAGCTTGCTGGAGGACAAAATAGTGGAAGAGTCAAAGATTTTGTACCTGTACACATTAAATAAACACAATGTTACAAAATGTTTTAAAATACACAAATCCTTGGATAGCAAATCATGCCTGCCAAACTAAAATTCAAAGTAAAAAAAAAGAAATAAAGCAAAAGAAATAGTTAGATTTGAAGAAAGGTATGATAGAGAAGGTGAGAAGGTGAATGTGTTGTAATGGATATTTTATATGATTTGTTTACAATGATGGCATTTTATAGTGTTTTGTTGTAGTTGATAATCAGGGACTAATAGCATAATGTAATATATGATGTAAATGTTGCAAAACCAACACTATACAAAATAAGGATTTCCATTGTACATGTGAGTTATCAAAGCCTGGCTGAAGGGTGATTTTATGAACATCCCTTCTAGACAACAGGGTCCAGTGCAAGAGAAGTGGGATGGAAGCTTGTTTTTCTCCAAGGTCATTTTACAGCATTCCCACTTACTGATAGTTTGATGGCAATTGTTATATATTTATTAGAAAAAGAAAATGGTGCTCTTTCTTCTCAAGTTATTATTGCATGCATATGTGTTGTGGCCTCAGGATGTATCATGTTCGTTTATAGTATGGCGGGTGACTATACAGTATGGCATGATCATTAAATCCAGTATCCAGAATTAAGTCCTCAGAATCTCGAGTTGTACTGTCCGCACGCGCGCACACACACACGCACACACACACACACGCGCGCACGCGCGCACACACACACACTCATGCACACACACACGCACACATTCACACAAACACACTGCATGAGCCCCACACGGTCCATTTTTCGAAGCTGACTTTCGTTTCCCCAACAATAGCGATGAGTGCCTACCAGACATCATGAACATCCATCCATGGCATCATGAGTTATGCACATTAATCCACGGTCACCCCGCCATAGCCAAACCGAATACATAACACCCCGGCGAAGGTAATCACCCGGTGGAGTTTACTCAGTCCCGAGCCCATGGCGACTCAGCCTTGTTGACGACAACTTCTTTTTGTGCAAACAAAATGTCCAATGAAGAGAGAGATATCGTATCTGTTCGATCTCCCAGGGTTGGCTGACGTAAAGCTTCAAAACTGGATTCCGTCGCAACGACGGATTTTTGAATTCTATAGTGTTCCCTGCGCACCAAAGTTTTGTCACTGTAGAAAAGGTAAGTACAGTTCAATTGCCTGATTTCTTTCCAAGTAGCGGTAGTGTCATTTATCGTGCAAGTGTGTGATATGCTGTATTTTTGGTAAAAGTAAAAAAAAAACTGTCACGTAAGACGCTGACTTTGAAGTTTCAATGATGTAAAGGCGCAAATGGAAAGATTTGTTTTAAAATTTGATATAATTGATTGTTGTGAATGTTGTTCAGAATTGGTCGTCTTAGCGAAATCTCGTTGAAAATTCGCACTGGGTTCCGTGATTTGCTCTCGTGAACAAGAACTCCATCCCATTCTTAGCTCAAGCCAGATAATTGAACACATTCTTTGTGTTTCTGGTCAACTGTTCTCGATTGGGACTAATCTGGGAAAATGAAGTGTTACTATTAAGTGTTTGGCTGTGCGGCCTCTACCATGTCGACTGTCTACGAAACCAGCCGTAAAGTCGGCTAAAGTCCTGACGATATCGACTGAAAGGTAACGAGCCCGGCCCTCCTTTGACAATATGTGTGCCTAAAATGATGGCGGATTCTCCTGAAATGGAACACAGTACGAGGACAGTCGTGACGAAAAAATATAGAGAACTTTTAAGACAACGCTATAGATTTTGTTCGTGTTAAGTAATCTGTCTATTTGCGGTCATCAGATCTAGACTCTTTAAATGTCTATTATGGGATATCATATGTGTAGCTATATGTTGTCCGCAATATTTCCCATCAGCTAATGTTTCCCTAAAATCCTCTGTATTCGTTTTGATTTTGAAATTATCGCCTAAGTTGTTTCTGTTATTGGAACAAATTTCGCCACTTTAGCCTTTCGAAAAGGCAAAAACTAGCTTTATCTTTAACATTACTTGATTCCTCAATGCTATTCTGCATTTGTACTTTAAGTTCTCCGTCCAGTGAAGTTTCTGTCCATTTTTACTGAACTTTCTATGACTTCATGAATCATTGAATAAATTTGAATGAATGAATGATTGGTTTTTATTAGCACTAGAATTACTGGTTTTCTAGTTGTTTTAACAAAGTATTTGAGTAAGTCAAAATTACCAAAAGTTGGAAATACCTCCTTGGTACCACCTGCCTATCTGCGACTGCAAGCCATTAATTTGATTGATAGGTTGAGTATTGTGTTTCTCAGCAGGAGGAGGCCTATAAGTAACCATTGTATTTGCACTGCGCTCTACCATTGCCGGTTTACCACAATTCAACAGATAACAAGCCATGATCCTACATAACAACAGTAGTATGTAAACAAGCTACCTTGCGCAGGGCCATTTCGCAGCGATCATTTGGGACTTTCACACACATTTATTACAAATTTATATAATTAGCAAGATAAAAAGTCGAAGTTGCATGGGGATTTTGTTTGGACGACACGTTGCCTGTCCAAAATTGCACCAATAGAAGATATTATATGATTATGTACTAGTAATAGTTGCCCTTAGTAAACTAGAATTGAACTCTATATCTGTTTGTGCGTATTTATTCCGTTGTACTGTTACAATTGTCACGAGCAAGCCGTAAGGGGTATCCCACTAATCCACACTAATCCTAAGTATACAGTAACCTGTCATTGATTTATCCTTATGACTTATAATTAAGCCCTGGTCACATACATCGTACAATGCAGCTACGATGGAGGGCTTTATTTTCCACGACGATCTTACCGTACGTCGTAGACTTTAAGAAGATTTAACGGGGTGAATTGCACCTGTCTCGTCTCATATTGACGACCTATGGCAAGATCGTCGTGAAAAAACATGCATCGAAGGTGCATCGTACGGTCTATGTGATCGGGATACCCCAACACCGTACTATAGGTACAACCATCCTCAGCCTGAGTCAGACGTATGCCACGCGACAATGCGGCGTAAACTTGGTATTCATCGATTTTTGGTTCCAGTAAAATGGGGAATTATATGAGTTAATCTGAGCACGGCTACTATTAATCACCTCAGGGTAATAGATGATGGCCGAAATGAACGTCAGACGGGGGAAGTTGTTAGGTAATTTACAGCAGACAGTGGAATCCGCCAATAACAACTTGTAAATGGCTCTCCGGTTGTAATGACATTTGTTGTATCCGGGGAGATGCGGGGGACGCTGAGGAACTATGCTTCCGTGCGCGCCGTGTTATCGGTAGTTTGGGCGGGGTTGCCTAGCTTGTTGACGGTAACAGCAGGGAGAAGTACTAGTGTTCTTGACAACCACCTGCACGTTTAGACATGCGCAACTGTAGCAGCAATGCTGGAGTACGAGTGATAGACTAAGCGCGTTCACAGAGCACCAAATGATTTACATTAGCACAGGGTCCTTACTTTAGTCTCAGTAATCACCATATTCTTGTTATCTATGTATGCGTTTTAGTTTATATTCTGATTGGCTTCACCAGAAGGGGAATGTTTTAGGTTTGGCCATGGTGGAGTGGATCTGTTTGTGGGGTGGATCTGTTTGTATGTCAACAGCACAACTCTAGAAGATGTGAATGAATATGATATTTTTGGTAGGTGAGTATATCCCACTGTCCGTAAATCAGGTTCCAGGGGACATACTGCTCTTTTGCCGGAAGTACGATTTTGAGGATCTGCTTCGAGATCAGTGCTGGTGACATTATGTAACAAAAATGACTTCTGTCGACAAAGATGATCTTTCAAAGACAAATCTTTTGGAGATTACAGTTTGGCCCCGCTGATAATTTGTCATCTCTCTTCAAAAACAAAACTTCAGTTACAATTATGAGATGTTGTTACTTACTGAGGTGGAGTTTCTTGTCAGGTGCGGATCACAGTGCGACTTCTTCTCACTCTTCCAAATTCTTCTGGAGTGTTTGAAGACGAGAATGGGAGCCGGAAGGGTCTAATGTTGTGGTCAACTAAATTGTCTACTCGTTTGATGCAATCTGTGTTAATTGTGGGCATGCCATTAATTCTCATCCTGGCCTTTCCACGTGAAGAGATTTTGAACACCTTCCACTTTCAACAATGGGGGAAGGCAAACAGCTATAGGAAGGAAATGAGAGCCATTGTCCAGAGGGAGATGAGAACAACTTGTGAGGCGCTCGGAGGAGGAAGAAGGACGTAGATCGGTGGCGGTTATGCCGTTTTTATCAGCGACGATGGGATCGGCTTGATATGAAAGACACAATGATCAGAAGTTAAAATCTTCCAACACTTTGAATTACTGCCGTAGGGGTGGTGTATACGTAGATGACCTATTTATCCTATTTTCCTCTAATATATCATGTTTAATTATATGTCCCTAACCACGTGCGCAACCTGCTAGTAATCACAGGAAATGGGGCTTAAAAATATGAAATAAGAAGAGATCATACAGCAATTACAGGAATTCATTACTTGGCATTCATCATGTTGTCAATATGTCAGCATCTTTTGTCCGAACAGAAAAATGGAAAAGCGTTATTGTCACTTTTGTAGTAAACATGCAATCATGTGGACAATCTAGAATTATCTTAAAACTGAACTTTTGATTGACAGTAGTTATGAAGGGTCGTTGACCTCTTGTCATAGCCTCGGATGAACTTTTCACCCCGGACCATTTTGCCACAGTTGAGGGGAGCTAGCCGGTTCGACCGGTTAAATTTGTCCTCCTCTGTTCTTTGTCCTCTCTGATCAGAACTTCATCTGAACATTCGACCAATCACACAAAACTATAGACACGTATACATACATGTACGGATGACTCGCCTTACTTTTCTTAACTACCCTGTAGACCATGCGTTTATGTCCCCACTGACTTTCACAGAGGTGCGTGAAGGATGATGCCCAGACTGGTAGTAAACAGAAGATCGTTCTCCTAAATCCTCTAAACCCTGAAGCTGATAAGGGTTATATATATGACTGGTCTGGTGTTCTTATTTTCCATCAGGCTATGTCAAGGGGCGTGTCATGGCGGCTAGCCTGACGACATGGATACTGCTGGTGTTCGCTGAGCACGGTTAGTACTGTTAACATAGCCTCCTCATCAGCAACCGGCTAGAGCTTTTACAATGCGATTTTTTTCATAATATCACTCCAGCCGGCCCAAAGGCAGTGTTATACATAACGTCTTTAGCTGTGGCCGGCACCAAATAGAAGTGATATGCCATAAGATAAGAACCGCATTATTAAAAGCTCCCTTAGATGCCCCAGTCATAGTTTGTTTATTAGACCGATCTCCATTAGTTTGTACAGTTGCCATACATACTATTCTTCCTGGAGTCGTTAAGTCATAGAGCCTTCTTATGAGGATATACTAGTAGAGAGGACATCATGGGACTGATGATACTGAAAGTCTTAATCAACTTTAAGGAACGAGCTGTTTTAGTTATGGGCAATCATAACAATTTTTAGTGTTTTCGTAACGTTATATGTTCGATCTACATCGGTCAACTGTCCAATTATTGACGACGTGTTCTCATTGGTTGACCACTGTAGCCATGGCAACCTGGACCTTCAGCCCGTCCTGCTACCGTGTGCAGGACGTGGAGGCCGACTGGGTGACGTCATGGCTGAAGTGTCAGGAGCTCGGCGCACACCTGGCCATAGAGAGCGACACGGGCGAACACACAGCCATCTCTCAGTACCTGCAAACACTGGGGAGGACCGACGACTACTGGATCGGCGGGAGGAAGACGCTGGACACGGCACCGCTCATACACTCGTCATTCCAGTGGGTCACAGAGTTCAGAGGTTAGTTGTGGAACAATCTAACTCTTATACAACTAAACAATTGTCTTTCTAAAACGGTTTTGAGGTGGAGACAATACGTGTTTAATTGCTCTACCGCAGATGAACTGATTCAGAGAATAGTGTATATTTTAGACATATTGAAGGTAAATATCAGCAGTACATTGTACATAATGTTACCTTCTTAAATGTCTTTAGTAGCTTTAACATCCTGATTCCACAAAACTTAGAGGGAAGTTTAGAGGGAAGTTCCATAGAAGTTCCATAGCACCTAGCCTATGTAACCCAAGCTCCGGGGGGCTCCCTACATAGTCCGCCACCCGGGGGCCGACTGGATGTTGGGCGGCCGGCAAAAGCGATTTAATCAGGCTACATAGCACCTTACACAGACGTACACAACACGAGTACCCTAACGACGATATGGTCATCATACCAGGTACACAGAACAAGTGTCCTCCGCAGAGCAGCTCTGACCGGGTGAACTGTACGGAGATGGGGGTGGGGCTGACGTGTCAGGTGCTGGGCTGCTGCTGGGACAACACCACCACTACACCCGGGGTACCCGCCTGCTACTTCCCCAGTAAGCCTTTGACAGATCAATCCATACTATACTATCTCTATTTTGGAGTTTGTAGTTGACCATACGAAAGTTGCTGTAATTTCTGTTGCGTTGATAAAGCTTCTTCTTCTATAATTATTATAACATAACTATCGACAATACTCCTCCAAAGCTACCCGTGGCGCGTTGGACAGCGGTAACTGGCTGGCCGGAGAGCCGAACAACACCCCCAGTCCGGAGATGTGTGTAGAGGAGAAGTACTCCGCTGGGGGGCACAGCTGGAACGATAAGAACTGCCTCCTTCAGACCAGGAGCCTTTGCGAGACCTGTAAGTGCAAACATTCATTCGGCTGAGAAGTTCATATTACTTGGGGTCTTTGATGTAATTTGCATGTCATCATCTAAGGGAGTTCCAAACTCTATACAGATATGCATCAGAATAAGCTCCTCCTTACACTAAAGACAATTCAGATACTCATTTTATATACAGATTGCAGTCGTCTTCAAACTCAGTCAATGATGAAAGATAGCGGATGCTATGTGAAACGTACGCGTCTTTAGTCTTCAGAGAAATCATACAGTTGCTTGAGTTATTTTGTATTACGTAAAACAGTTGATTTTTTTCTCTGCAGTCCTGACCTGTGTCCACCCCCTGACGGATCAGAGGGTGCCTTGTGGGTACACCATAACCCGCACCTGTCCCCCAGGCACGGCCACCACCTCACCAACTCTCGTGTGTGAGAGCAGCGCCACTAGCGGTTCCTTTGCGCAGACCATGGGGTGGAATGGCACCTACGACCCCTGCACAGGTGAGCCACATCTGTAGTAAATATAGAAACATACTTCAAACAGAGATACTCAAACATTAACAAATACATAAACTGAAATAGGGTTTCAAGTATTCTCTTCCTGACACATTTCCAAATGACTCATCTGCTCCTAGTCGACGTGTCCCTCAGGGCAGACAGTACTATTAGATCTTGCCATAGGAACACATGCTTAAATACACTATTTCAACACCTCATGAAAGTACTTGCCCATACTCCAATCTCAAAAATTTTTTCTGCACCAGGTAGCAACAAGGGTCTGATTCCCAAAAATAGAAAGGAAACAGGGGGTTGACCATCTCAAATTCCCGCCACAGCTGATGATAGTAAAAAAACCTCAACTTTGACCTACATTTTCCATGCCCCCCATGGTATCCATCCGCCTGGCCAGACAAGACCTAACCACTCACATCTCTCACTACGCCCACTAAACTGGTGAAATAAACAAAACTTGACCAATGTAGGAAAGTTTAGACCCTACCTGTGCCTTCCAGCCCAAAAATCTCCAAAATGGACCAAAAATTTCAAGAGAAAAAAAGGTTTTCAAAGGTATTAACTAGGCACTACAATCGTTTTTTGAGGCCTCTACTGCGCAACGCAAATGTGGTGTCTGCCCCTCAGGCTGGGTTTCGAGAGACTTAGATCCTGATTCTTTATTCTTGCAGATATAGACGAGTGCCTTGAGGGATCCCATAACTGCCACCCAAACGCCTCCTGTTCCAACAGCCCCTTTCCCTTCAGCTGCGCCTGTAAGCAGGGGTTTATCGGGGACGGCTGGACTTGTGCTCCTTATGCGACTCAACCGAATCCGGGTTCTTCAGTTCCTGGGGTCTCCCCAAATCCGGGATCTTTAGTCCCGGGGGTGTCACAGAATTCGGGCTCTTTAGTCCCAGGGGTCTCCCCGAATCCGGGCTCTTTAGTCCCGGGGGTCTCCCCGAATCCGGGCTCTTTAGTCCCGGGGGTCTCCCCGAATCCGGGCTCTTCAGGTCCGGGGGTCTCCCCGAATCCGGGCTCTTTAGTCCCAGACGTCTCACAGAATCCGGGCTCAGGGGGCTCACAAAATCCGGGGTCCCCCGGAGGAGTCAGTGCCTCGTCACATCCGGGCATCTCGTCTGGTGGCGGGTCACAACACCCAAGCTCTGCCGGAGCCGGCGTGTCGCCACAGCCGGGCCCGGGGTCTGGTCCTTCACAAGGCCCGGGGTCTGCCGTCTCACAGGCCGACAGTTCTACTGGTTCTAATGACGCCACAGCAGCAAAACCAGGTACCGGGAACTGCGGTCCCTGTGACTGGGCGGGAGGACGGCTGTCAGGAGCCATGGTGGTCGTCATGAACAACATCGGAGGAACTTCTGACAGTGAGAATATGGATTTTATTACGATAACCATTGGAACGATAATCACAAATGATTATCATTATCATGAACCTTTGAAACTAATTACCTTCTTGATTTCTCTAACTGCAACACAACACAACACAACAGTACAGCGTCATGTCCATGTTTCAGACCTGGCGGTTGTCGCTATAACCCTGGTGGTGTGCCTGCTTCTCTTCCTTCTGGGATGCCTGCTGGCGTATCTTATCAGGTATTCATTACAACAATTAATTCAAACTGCCTTTAAATAGTTGCCGCTGCTAAATGCTCACTGGAGAAAACCTGTAGGTGATTTATGTCACGTTTATTCATGTTTATGTTTTGCCTACCCCCCACCCCCTCCATTGTGTTAAACAAAAAATTCAAATACACCATTTCAATTGTATTTCAACTGTATTTCAATTGACACAGATTCAGAGCACACACGATCTCTAATACTTCTTGTATCATTCTAATGACAATCAAACCTTTTTTCAAGAAAACGAAGAAACATGAAATCAGTTGAACTAGCCCCGCCGGAGTACCACAACGTGAGACAGACGAAGGCAGAGGTCCCGACGGAAACTGGCTCCTTCACAACGGAGACGACCATTGGCGAGAAAAGATCCGTCACTCGTGAGTATAGCTATCAAGCAATGCCGCTGGAGGACGTCTTCTTACAGTAGCTTTGTTGTTGTTGATCGAACTAGGACTGGAATCAGCTTTGAAGTAGATCTCAGTGGCGCGGCGTTGTCAGAGAAATCCTCTCCAAGCAGAGGTTGAATGGGAAGATTGTGATCTTTAATGCACCGTTTTCTGACAGCTGGCCTATTGGATACTGTTTTGCCTACAGCTATTGGATAATGGCTTGTAACTTTTGCGTATGATATGCCGGGTTCGTGGTTGCTAGACACATTTCTTTATGAAGGAATTGCGAAAGTTGCCCAACGTCAGCTTATATCCCTGCTGACACCGTCCTAAAAATCCTGCATGGCTCATGACGGAAGGGAGTTTAACCAGCCGCGATAGCATATTTCACACGCCAACGCGCAGAGCCGCTTTGGGGACCCATTCCGGAGACAAGTGCAGTTAATTTCAATAAATCATATCGATCAAGTGCAGTAGATCTCTAATCTGTACACACAGTCGCTGGGGCTAGTTGACCTCCATCCCAGACCAGTCTGACCTCCAGCAATCGGACCAACGGCGGACTGTTTACTTGCAGTCCTCGGATCTAGACCAAGCGATGTTTCATTCCGTAGGTCCGAAAAACGCCATCATAGTCACACGGCTCTGTCCATGGTGCTGAAATGTTCAGTAAACATCATCTGAACCTGGCCGTACGCGTGATGACAAGAAGTTGATTCCTGGGGCACAGTACACTTAGAGAGAAAAAAGTACCTCCTCGTAATCTGAGTTGCTGCCCTGATGCAGAATACTCAATATCCTTTATGTTCATCTTTAATACTGGATTGACCAAACACTGTACATGTAAGGTAATGTGCTTGAGATTTACAGTGACAGTATATGTTATGTGTTTATCTTTCAGCGGCGTGGAGCCCCATCTCCATGTACAGGGGGAAGTCTTCCCGTGTCTGGTGATGCACACAGATTACCCAGGGGGCTTTGCACCTGGGTTACTCCATTTCCGGTCGTACACCCGGGCCATCATGGGAAGCTTGACGACCGGAGCACGCTATGTTAGTTATACAATAGAGCTTTATTATGATCCAACAGGATGATTTCATATTTCTTGCAGTCTCATAAAGTGAGTGCGTAGTAAAAAAAAATGGATGCAACAGTATGATCCAACTCCATATAATGAAAACTACCGTGTCGTTTTGCAGGAACAACCATAAAATGTTGCACTAGCTTTAGCTAACTTACAATGAAAAGACACTTCGTCACTGTACACAAAACTATATGTTGCTTTGTTGTTCCTACTGAGAGGAAATATGTGCTTTAAAATCGGCCTTGGATCAATAAAAGTCAATGACGTTGGTTGATTTCCCATTCATATGAACTTTACTGCAGATAGCTTTGAATATCGTCATGGTTATAAACCGCTGACCTCTTTCCGAGAGGGTTCGCTCTTAAATCAATGTTAATGGACTTTTACTCGCTGCTAGTGGATCGTTTTACTGTGTCACAAACCCCTTTTGGGCTTATAGGATAACGTCAATAATCCACATCGCTCTCGCAAAACCTCAGAGAAACAAAATATTGATGCTCAACACGGTAAATCTGTTGAGAAAAGACGGCACGGGTTGAGATCATGCTAAATAAGAAAAAGAGGGTAAAATCTGAAGGTCAAGGATTTTCCCCAGAATCTAGTTGACGCCATTACACAGTTTATTACCCAGCATCCTGTGCGTGAAATAAAACCGATTCATCTGAGATACAGGGACATTTCAAAGGCTTGAGATAAAACATTCAGAAGACATTAGTACGCTTCTATCCAAATCGCTTCAGAAGGTTCTGTATAGTTGCAGGATTAGGGTTTGAGTGATATGTAAGCGTACCGAAGTGGATACAAACACACACGACTGGAAAGGTAGATTTAGACGTCCTCTCAAGCAAACCCTTGGTAAGAGCCGGCACTGTAAAGGTCCCGCCGATAAAAGGCGAAGGTTAAGGCGGGGAAGAGTCGTAAGATTGCCGGGTAATACTGGCCAGCGGACAGTGAGCACGTAGGGCACGTAACCACTCCGAGAGACAAACGACCGAGCTTACGCGTGTAGAAGTGTGATAGCTTGTTGCCAATCACTCGTGAACCATATCAACCTTTTCTTTCTATAGAAATGTTTTGGGAAGTCAAACGCACCACACTGCAGTAGCATACGTCGTATTTTTTTTTATATCTGATATGGAGGGAGACGGAAAATAACAGTGTCGAGAACAAGCAGCAATGCTTAAATGATAGAAGATATCAAGTTAAGTCGTTACACTTGCAATGTCCTGTCAGTTCTATAGGAAACAGGGGTCAGAGATCAGCCTCATGAAGGAATTTAGATCATTACGTTTTAAAGCTGGTTTTGTGACTAATATTCCGTCAGGACTACTATAACTCGATCGGTTAAAGACAGAATGTCCGTAAAAGCTCGTTACATTCCTTTAAAGCAGCCGGTGGACATTGGCCGTGACAGATTGTAATGTCTGAGTATGATAATTTGGAGGAATAACTATCTTGAAATGTGGAGAGGTCACTGTTGTAACTCAGTAATTGACGACTGTAAAATCGGACGAGGCTTCCGTGTGCGTGAAGGCGGAGTATGCGTCTGGGCGGTATGGGGTATGGAGGTATTGGTTTGGGTGGGTTTGTCTGTGGTTTGTGTGAATGCTTGTTCAGTAGAGACGGTTGCAGGAAGAGTGGGCGAATAAATTATATTGTTTACTTCATTGACAGGCATATCAAGCCCGGCCCGCGACGAGTAGGAGTAAATACGTGGAAGAACCCAGGAAGTGGTTGACTGAGTGTAATTCCCGATTGAATTACATCATACAGTTAACAGTTTCAATACATTCCCCAAACCCCTAAACACTTTCCGGAGGTCTGAAATTTCCAATATAAAATTCATATAATAAACAAGACCTCAGTCCAGCTTTTAGACGTTTGTATAGTTTTATCAGATTTACAGACCTCACAATATCCTCACAAAAATAGAAATAAGACGTCTACGTACAATACCAAGCATGGAAACTACCCCCTCCGTCACATACATATCGTATTACAAATGGTGTGGAGCTGCAGCGACAGATCCTGTCCTGACTTATTGCATGTCTTTTAATTAAAGGCGCAGTTATCATTGCCGTTCATTAATAATCCTGCCATCTACACGTTACTATAAAAGGCCCTTCATAAAACAACACGGAGCGTGGCCATCTATCTAGCTAATGGCAGTCGTTTTGCCATAATCGCCTTAACACCCTGCACAACACGGCAGCCATAACAGCGGGCTCTAATTGCCAGATCCAGTCGTTCGTTTGGCGCATTAAAGTCAAGACCGCTCCCCATTAACCGTAAATTTCGTCCCGTGAAAATGTTCTGGCGAATTATCTTTTCTCCCGACTTCATCCGCGCGCGTCCCCCGCGGACATTTTGGGGAGATTCCGTCTTTGTGCTTTCGCTGTTTCATCACTTCCTGGGGAGGGGGGGATCGGATTCCGATGTCGTAAACTGTAATTCCTCAATTCACTCGCGGCAGAGCTCGTTTTCGTGCACAGTTGGACGTCACAGTTTTGTATATTTCGCGGCTGCAATGCAGACTAATATTATGAGCACATGACTTATAGCTAATTAGAGGCTAACGCCTTCAATTCTTGCATGTAGTTTAACTAAATGATGTCTTTTATAAGTCTGTACTATGCATTAAGTCCTCATGTGAAAGGCTGGTCTAACGTGGGCAGAGAATGAGAGATCTTAAATTTGGGACCTGTGACCCACTGTACATAAAGTACAATGTCACATTGATGTGTTAACATGGATTTTAGTCTTGAAGTTGACGCAACAATGCACACTCAATAGTACAGATGATAGACTCCGGGAGAAATGTAAGAGAATTTGATCGCTGAAATGTATATATAGTTCGACGTTGGAAACTGGATATCAAGAGATACCAAGGAGATGTGCCATTCGTTTAACAGTACAAACCGATATATCCGGACCATATCAAAACTAGAGGTTATGCTGCAGTATCTCAGAAAGTCGCTAGGGGTCCATAATCTGTTTCTTTATTTTGCCAATACCTAACCACATACCACAAATCATGCCCATCCATCGACGACTTCTCTGATGGCCACAAGTAAACTCACATCTCCACAAACGACGCCTCAGATATAACCTTGACGGAGGTAATAATGAGTACAGGTCTGTCCCACCTGATGGATAACTCGGACATGCGTTTCCGATCTCCGTGGCGTCAGGTATGCCTACATCGGCTCCCCCCGCCGGCAGGAATCAACTGTAATTTTGAATGTCACCGCAGCCATCCATCAGCGGGGCCGTACTATCAGGGAGTGCCGCCTGCAGACATTTCAATATATCATCAGACTACGGCTCTCGCTCTGGTGCACACAAAACTACATCACATTCATAGTACACCCTATGTACTGGACCAAAACACACACTTTTTGATGATCAGTAACACTAAATATTTAAATGACAAAATCCAGGGCTTGAAAATGCTTGGTGCATGTGCACTTTTGTGCACCAAAATTGGAGCTGTGCACCCAATTTTTGACCGTGGGTGCAAATGTGACATTCATTACCTCTTCCGTAAAAACGATGTGGTAATCATTAGAATATAACGTTACATGTCCATGTATTGTGGTTTAGTCGGGGGTAAGTCACTTAAACAGAAGTTATGTCAATATCGAGTACGAAGACACAAAAAAGCAATTAGATCATATGCATGGAGATTTTCTAAAAATGTTGGATATCCCGATGGAATAATGCCTCCACAGAACCATGTTCCTAGCTGATAGTATATATACTATAGTGCTACTAAACGTGGCCGTTTTGTTTCCGGTTTGTGCAGTTTGTTTAACTGATCGGTAGTTCCTGACGGGTGGCAAACACTCCCACTCACATACAGGAGTAATCAGATGTAGCAGGATGAGGCGGCTAACTGTCTCAAAACGCAGATTTATGAACCGTATCAGACACGGCACACCACATCCCCGATGCAGCCAGCAGATAACAATGATGTGCCTACAAATCTTGTCAGAAATGAAGGACATATTTACGATAGGGCACAAGCCAAATGTTACGAGCATTTTAGATATCTCCGATAAAAACCTTTGCGTTAGTAATTTCCGAGACATAAAGAATACATGTGTCATGTGATGTGATGTAAAAGCAATCCTACCCCAGGTACAGTGTCAGACAGTGGGTAAGGCGAATCCTGTCGTAAAGTGCCCGGCGTGTCATTTGAACCATGCCATGTCCCAGTTATAATTACCCGGTGGCAAATGCTTTATGTGTTTTATTTCTCCATATGGCCACGGGCGAACATAAAACATTTTATGGGAATGGTGACAAAAGGTTGACCAAAGGCGAAATGCAGAAAGGGCGACTGGGAAGGTAATGACGAAGTTATTTTGACTTTAGATTAAAAGCTATACACAACTGTGACTTCTTGTGATTTTGTATGCTTGATGTGTTTCGTTTCGTGCCAATATGTACCAAGTTGCCATCATTTTGCTCTGAAGTAATTTAAGCCTAAGCAAGGCATGTGGGTGTTGCAGTAACACGTTTACGTTCTCAAATTATAGTATTCTTGTTCTATTTTACGATTTCAATGTATACAGAATTCAAATCGTGTCAAAACAAGGCGCACATAGATGCCAACACCCCTGCTACAGCAGTACCCGTCATATTTTGAGTGGCCTGGCGCCGGCTCTGTCGCAGAACACAGTTGGCGTTTTCATCGTCAAATCATACAACACTGTTCTCATAACCAACGGGATTCCCTTCAATTAACTGAAGTACATTTTAATAAACATGCCTCCGTATCAAATATGCATCTCATACAAGACTCAATTTTACGCCCCAAGAAGACAGCGTAATATCGAGATGGAAGCAAGCCACGGGATGTTCCGTTTTGCCTCTCTGGTGTGGCAATTGAGAAGCAAAAACGTTTGCTTTAATTTCATCTCAGCTCACGTTTACATAATTATTGATGCTGTTCACTATAAACTATTTATAGAAGTTGAACTGGCAATTATCACGTTTATAGGCCCACCGAAGCCTGTATTCACTATACACTATTTATATCAGTAGAGCTAGCGGTTATAGAATCACCGGCGCTGGTGTTCACGACTTGTAATAAGTAGTAAGGGTTGTCTCCCTCTGGTCGTGTAAATTAAGTTGGTTTGACTTGTATGAAATGATTTCCATGTTGTGATAAGCGGAGACCTGAAGGGTCGCGATGTCACATCTCCAGACCCGCTCCGCTGACCTCTCCGTGGAATCTGACCTTCCCTACAGAATTGCACACGTCGGCTCTTTTATTCATCCCAGGAAATTCAT